TAGTACGAAATGCATATAAATATAGGCAATTATCGTGTACGTATCGTTATATTTTATAATATGATTATAAAATGTTTGATAACGATTATTGATTACTATGTGGAAGCTGCAGACGCAGTACGTTCGTTTTGTGTGTTTGAGGATTGAGCACATTATTGCATAATGTACACCTACTATACATTTAAAAATATTTCACTTACATGTATTTTTTTTCAAACTTAGATTTAAATTATTCAACTTTTATTTCCGAAGCAAAAATATTTACTCATTTAAATTCTTGTTTTCTGTAGCTCTTGGCGATGAATAAAAACACCGATAAAATATATATGTTTTTTGATCGGTATCAAATACACAGAATGATAATCTACTAAATATAGGGATATACGATGGAATAAAATTGCATAATATATAAATAAATAAGACAGGTTCTCGCGACTGGTATATTTGATACACGTGTCGATGTAATTCAAGACTTTGCATCGGAATTAACCCGAACATGTAACACCCCATGAAAACCCATAAACAAACAAACACTCGAAACCCATATAACCCAAATGATTTTTTTTTTTTCAAAACACAATAACCTACAACCCGAAAAAAATATTACGGTTGACCCGAAACCCGAATTATTGCGTGCAAATATTAGTTCAGTTTTGTAAATACRCAGTTGCTTAAAAATAAATTAAATAGGTATTACGTAATTAACATATACATAAATATGCTGTTATATATTATTTACATACAGTACCCAAAACCCGAATAAATTATACGAGAGTACAATGCTATGATGTTATTAAACATTTGTTTTTTGTTTAATTGAAATTCGCTAAAAATTGTGTTTTTACTTTTTAACAATAAACAACCTTAGTGTAGCTAAATAGCCTATTCAGAACGCCGCGCGATCAAAACATAGTTAATACAATTATTATGAGTTTACATATTGATATAATGTTATAAAAATAAGAATTGTTATTACAATCTAAATCAATTACCTCATTAGAGAGTATATTATAATATACAGTACCTATATACATATTTATAAGTTATAATTGTAGCTTTGTTTCCTATTATTTTTTTCAGACCATTCAGTTTACAGTTTTGTGGATATTGTTCCTGTCGATTGTACTTGGTAACGGAGCCGTTCTGGTGGCCTTGTCGTTCAATAAGGCCCGCAAGAACCGAATGAACTTTTTTATCATGCACCTGGCACTAGCAGGCAAGTATATTTTTTTTTTAAATTTTTTGCGACACTTGCATTATTCAGTTTATTTTTTAAATAAAATATCTGATCATCTCTATTRTACAATAACAWTATTTAAAGCATTAAGCAGTGTATTTTTAAGAAAATGTTAATCAATTAATACATATGTATTATATTGTATATAGGTATATATGCWTAGAGGACAGCTTTAATTTAAAGTTATTTATGAACAGCTATATTTATAGTTTTATCTGACAATAAAATGTTTATTAGTGAAAAAAAATTATTTGTATTATGAAATTATTAAATTTCAAAATATTTWGATTTATAGTCTAMTGTTATTATTCTACACAATATAAAGAAATTTACTAGGTTACAAACATATTATTATTATCAAATAAGAAAAATATATAGTGGCAGTATAACATATAAATATAGCTGTTCATAAATAACTTTAAATTAAAGCTGTCCTCTAAGCATATATACCTATATACAATATAAAGAAATTTACTAGGTTACAAACATATTATTATTATCAAATAAGAAAAATATATAGTGGCAGTATAACATATAATCTGTGTGAGTGTGTATTTTATAGTAATGCTATAGATAAATTCGAGAAAGAAGGTTATAAATCCTAATCGTAATAATAACGAMGATGAGTGTGTTTAACGTCAAATAAAAATCACTCCACGTCGTATTTTAATCTACATGACAATGTGTTTAAATTATTGCGACGATGCATTGGTTTCCGTTTCTACTGCGCAAGTGCAGCTTACAATATGTATATATACATAAATGCATAATATGTTACACATGTTTTGTACAGGTACAAAGTGTACCTACAATGTGGTACACGTAATAGGTATATGTACACTGCTAAGAGTGAGTTATAAACGAATAGGGAAATCATATATCTATATATTGCTTGTCGATTTATTATTATTACATTATGCGGCGGTGGCTGCGTAGTGTCGTTTGTGCATATTGTTACTATTATAGGAATATATAATAATATATACTTATAGCTGTATAAACCAAAGACGAAACGAGCCGTGTGCCACTATCCTAATGTATACAATATATACACTACGCGGCCGACAATCGCTCGTAATATAAACGTATATAACATAAAGGAGGTACTTGTAATGTATTACAATGTATTATATATAGGCGGTACCTACTACCGTGGCCATAATATACATAATATAAATAATTTAAGATGTATACCTATATGTACATTGTGCAATTACTCATAGACGCATGAAATACTTTATTACACGCTCGCACCGCCTGGACGTGCAATGGTTTATTACGACGATGACGATTTTAATTTTTAACGCGCGTTGCATATTATGTATATATACCTACACTCGATTGGTCGTCATTATCATTACCTAGGTATTATAATTGTTGTTACCGTATCATTATTAAATCTCAGCGTGCAGTTACTCGAAAAAATTATTTCACCGAAACCCGAAACGGTTAGCAAGCACCTACCTACCTACCTATACTGCACGCACATAACACAAATATCAATAATCGTATCGAAAAAATATAATTCGCGTGTTTAGGTATATACACGCATGCTATAAATACGTCCGAATACATACAATATAATACGCGTAAATTATACGGTAGCAGTATGCCGTAGATATTAGCAAAACCCGTCGTCGATTAGGTCCATTATTTACAATATTTAAAATTGAATGCTCTAAATAACGTATATTTAAATATTCAAATTACCG